CACACACTGCTCCAACGTATGAATGGAGGGTTTGCTGCCTGTGAGTGTTCATGGTCGACTGCAGTGAGTGAGAGTCTGTTAATTTGAAAAGCTCCACCTGTCAGACGCTCAGCGGCTCCTTCCTGTGCAGCTGGTTACCGTAGTTACGGCTGGAAACGCACACGCTGGATTTACCTCAACAGCGTCGCTTTCGGGTCTGTTTGCACCACAGCTGGTTGAACATTTTAACTCGTCTCCGTTACGTGGCATTTAAAGTTAAAGTTAAAGCTGCACCTGAGAATTTTAGTCATTTTGATTAATTGATTAATAATTGATTTCTAAAGCCAGCAAATAGCTCCAGACATCCCGGGTTCCCACAGTTCAAAGTGCCTTTTTTCAACCTCTCACACTGGAGAAGCTCCAATCAGAGACAGATTTAAAGTTATAAAATCAACAACTTAAAGGGTTAACTGACTGTCAGCGCTGTTGTTGACCTGGAGCCGTACTACTTCCTAAGATCCTGTTTGGTAACCATGGTAATTAGAGTTAGGACCTGATTTAGGAAAAAAGCCATAACAGATTAACAGTTTCTAAGTCAATGTTTCTATTCTAGACCTCAGCGTTGTGGTTGTCTGCCAGAAGCTGTCATACATTGACTGTTGATCCAGTCTGAAGCCACATTGTTACCATCCACTGTTTAGATCTTGGTGCTTTTTAACTCTAGATTTGAACCGGATGAAGGATTTTAGTCATCGGACGTCTGGATCTTAAGTTATCAGAGAAACAAGCTGAGCTAACGTTAGCAGCAGCTCGGCTCGCAGCCCCTCCGGGACGTCCTTTGTCTGTCCAACAGCGTGGGAGAAGCAGTGATTGTTAAGGTGGAACTGCTTTATTCAGTGTGTTTAAGGTGGAACTGCTTTATTCAGTGTGTTTAGTGGTTTTAATCAGCGGGTCTGTTTGTGTTGGAGAGGAGGAGACCTCTGTGGATCATTGGGCTCCCGGTAGAAACCTCCTGAACCATGAACACTGAAGGAATCCTAACCGGGAGAAGCTGCTGTGACGGCAATGGTGGTGAAGACAACAACTCCCATGATCCCACGCTGCTCCACCACCTCATCTAACTTCATCTTTAGTTATTGTTTCGATGTGAGAGAGCCCCTAGTGGCAGAAATTACAGACTGTAAGTTTAAGTTAAGCAAGAAAAGTTTGGAGCCAGAACTCAATGAGTCTGAGATAATATATAAAAAATGACCTGAGATACAAGAAACTACAACTAAATATGATCTGTCCTGCACAAGTGAAGGTGAAAACAAACTAAAGTCAACTTTAAATCAAACTCAGACTTCGTGTCTTTGAGGTTCCTGCTGAACACTCAGAGGATTAAATAATAAATGGTTGGTAGTACGCTGCGGTTTCCACTGGCAACACTGCTGCTCTTTAGCCAACCCCCCACCCACCCTGAGTCAGTGGTATGGGGATGAATTTAATTACCGACTCGGGCCGCCCCGTCAGACCCCGCCTCTGGCCCTGCCAGCCCTGAGGTCAGTCTGCCTTCACCAGGCTTTTAATCAACGCTGGCGCTCCAGAAAAAAGCTCCGCTGCCTTAAATGAGAGGCAGGAAGAAACCTGATCCTCCTGCATCCAGACCGGGGGGGAGGGAGGGGGAGGAGGGGAGGAGGGGGGTGTCCAGTCTTCTCCCTCTCCCCTCATTCAAAAGACACAAAGTCCTGAACACTGTGGGATGAAAAGGCTTCTGGATCTGGGTGGCAAAAGTCTCCCAAACACAAAACCTAACTTTAGCAGAAGAGTAAATTAAAACATAAACTCGAGAATTGCCACTGCGTTCGCCACAAATTATCCCCGTCCGTGTTTCTGTTGATGACAAGCAACTAAAAGCGAGTTTACTCAAACAGAAACCTCACTGAGATTTTGGCCGAGAATGGGTCGGAGCTGAAAGACCCTCGGAAGAAACCGCAGACCAGCGAATGCAGCACCGTCGGAGGCCTCCAAACTTTTTCCCCCCCGACTGAAGGGAGCTCAGTGTGAACCTGCACACAGCTGATTACTGCGACCGCACAGCGAACACACACACACAGACACACAGAGGAGGGCTGAGAGGCTATCTGGATGGAGAGGAGGAGAAAGGGAGCAGTCTTTGGGCTCACAGAGGCTTTAGTCTGCCAGAGGAAATGATTGTAATTAAGGACGGAGATCTTTCCACAGCGCTCGGCTCAGTGTTTGTGTCTGCTGACGGATCACAGCTGAAACTTTACCTCCGCAGAAACACACCGAGAACTGAGGGAACATCTACATCTAATATAAAAACACTTCTTTTCTTCCTCAACGTTTCTTCATCACGTCAGGTTTTCAGACTTTGTACTCACTGAAACATTCCGATCTTATTCAAATGAGTTCTGAATATATTTGGACCCTAAAAAAAGACTAAAAAAACAGTTTTCCAGTTCCATTTTTTTACTTAACTTTAAAAAACTTCATGATGTATTTTCAATAAATCCAAGTCTGCAAAATTTCTAAACAAATTTTTTTCCAGTAAAATTAAATTTACTCTGTTAAAAATTAACTTTATCAAATTTTATCAGAAATAAAAGTCTTTATCTTTAAACAAGAAACATGTTGATAGTAAAGGTATTATAGGTTCGGTCTGTATTTGAACCATATCGGGGTTTCCAATGTGTTTATCAAGAAATGAAACAACAAATGAACCTGATGCCATTTACAACCTGGTTCTGGGGCTTTTAATCATCATCATTCAACCACATGATCATGTTGAGTCTTTTGTACTTTGTCTTTCTGTCTAAAAGAATATTTTAAGAGACTCCATGGTGGCTTCTGCTCCTGCTGATGATCATGTGATACGATCGAAAGGAGCAGCTACTAAATGGACCATGAAAATGTATTTTTAATTTAGAAAATACTTGAAAGAATTGGCTTTTTATTGGGAACAGGTTGAAATACAGACTGAAAATAAGAACGGTCTAAAGCGATAAGAAGGACATAGTTAGGTTTCAGTTGGAAGAGATCTGAGAGTGCGCCCTGGAGATAATTTTACCCGACTATCTGGAAGCTTTCCTCCTTTGTCAAAAAAACTCCAACAAACTTAGACCGAGCTCTGTGCCAAGCATTCAGAGCGTCTGCCAAACGTCTCCTCCACACGCCTCGGCCACCGCTCGCTGCCGCACGCAGAAATATTCCAACCAGCCAAATTATTTTCCCGTGGAATCAGCCGGAAATCGGGAAACGTGCTGAGCAATCACTCCGGAGATAATTGTGTTTTTTTTTTTAACTGAGCGAGCAGTCCTGAAAGGTTTGCCAGCTTCACCCACCAAACACCCCGAGCCGCTCCGCTTGCAGCCGGCGTGAGGAAGCTCTGGCAGAGACGCCTCCTCTTCCTCAGACTTCTGCTTTACTGACCGCTGATGGAAGTACGCCTGTCTGCAGCAGATAACATATTAGTCTCTGAGACAGAAAGCAGTTCGCTGTGAGAGGATCGTCATCCTCAAACTGATAAACGAGTTGAGAGCAAAAAGTGTGGAGGTGAAGTTTCAGATCGTCCACTGGACTCAGATTGAACGTCTCCTGTCAGACGCTGTAAATCTCATTCAGGAAAATTATGAAAACATTTATTTTCCACAACAAGAATGAAATAAAAAGTGGATGTTTTACAAGAAGTTGGTGTAGCTGCATCCTTCCACCGAAATAACCTTATCTTTATTTACTTATAACGTTAGCTGACGTCACCTGATGGTCGACATAAAAAAGACTTTGACTGAAAACCAGACAAGAAGCTTGTCGACATTTATACAAAGTAGAGGTGTAAGAAAATATCGTAATATTAAGTTTTATAATTCGGTATCGAGTTTTAATTCATAGCTTACATGCGAGGATTTGTGGCAGTCTCTATTCAGCCACTGGACTCTTCCACATACAAGTAAGCACACACTGCCAGCGTAAACAGAAATAACACAGGAGTTATAAAGAGCGTGACGCTAGCATTAGCAAAGCTAGAAGAATGTCACGTTACAACCGATGGCAGAATCCATAAGACACACACACAGCTGAAAAGAAACTTTTTTACACTTTTTTCCTAAAATTAGATTAAAAAGTTGCAATATATCACTTTACTTACAGTATCACATTATATCACAATATATTCAATCGTAAACTCTGTAACATGATACGTATCGTATCGCCATATTCTTGCTAATACACAGCTTCAGTACAAAGTTACTTTCGGCCACTTTATATTTCATGTTTGTAGGAAAGAGTGCAGGATTAACGTCAGGGGTCTAAATCTTCCTCTCCAGGTTCCCTTAAGGAATATCACTGCATTTTGCTGGTCTCAAGCTAAACCGACAGCGAACAATCCAGTTTCTGAAAGATCAGCTGCTCTGCAGAGGAGGAACTGTACTTAGAGGTGTAAGAAAATATCGAAAAATATGCTATCGCTCTGTTTTGCTTTGGGATATTAAATACTCAAAAATACTGCATTGGTTTTTGTGTTAAATGCAACCAGAAAAGTCAACTTTTTAAAAACTACATCACAACATATCACCTTGTTTATAGTATTGCAATATATCACGTTAAATTATCGCAATACGTATCATATCGTCAGATTCTAACCAGTACACAGCCCTAGTAGAGACACTGTTATTAAGACATCAAATAGATCTTTAGCATTTTACTTTAGCCAACACCAATTTACTGATTTATATTTGACATAATCAGCTGATAATTGGCTGTGCAAGTATCCGTCACACTCATCCCATCCATTATTCGAGTCATCAGCCGACATCAACCTGAGTCAACACACATCCTCTGCTCTCAGAACTCTGACCGGCTGCAAACTGTTCGGTCACATACAAGCAATGACAGGATGTTCACCGCACATGTTCGCCACGTTTCCATCGCACACAGAGCGAACAACTGAGCGACAACAAGCTGCTCAGCATCACATCGAACACACTCAAACACACACAGGAAGAAGAGAGTCTGGGACTGACCTGCGTGCACGAAGTAGGCCAGGTAGAGATCCAGCTCCTTGACTGAAACTCCAATGTGATGCGGCTGCACACACAGGGTGGGGTTCGAACACTGAGGAGACTTTACCAGCCTCTCCCCGTCAGTACTTTCGAGGGGAATCCCTTTGAATAAAATCACCATGACCAGGTCCAGCCTCCACACTTTGTCCGCCTGGCGCAGGCAGTCGATCCTCCTCATCTTGCCCTTCTGGTCGGGGTTGGACAGCACGCAACACGGCGCCTTCTTCCCCGTCACCGTCAGCACAAAGTCCTCCCTGAACTCGGGCCGGATGTCCTTGCGCAGTTTGGCCAGGAGGCGCGACGCCCACTTCTGTTTGACCTCGGGCTTCTCGCTGAGCAGCTCGTCCTTCACGGCGCGCTCCTCCTCCTTGGACATGCGCTTCTCGTGCTTCTTGAAGTACTTCCTCTTGCGGGCCTGCAGGTTGAACCATGTGTAGGCGAAGGCCCGGACGTGGGGCAGCAGGGCTTCGATGAAAGGATGGAATTCATCCTGAGGGACGGAGAGGAGAGACATGGTGAGACAGTGAGAGACCAGCGTGTTAATGCAACAGTACAGTCAGTAACTCTCAGCAGTGTCACAGATATAGCGCATATCCTGTTGCTGATGGTCCACAACACATATGTGGTATCTTAAAAGTTGGGATCTCCACAACATAATAAAATAATGTTGTGTGAGTCTGAACGGAGTTTGGCTGCGCAGTAATGAGCAATAACGTTCGGTTCTAGAGGTTGAAACTCATAAACTGCTGTTTTCTGAAAGGATGCCAGTGTGGTGACATCATTTCGACACATTTTCTATTTAATTCAGATGTTTTACACGACTCGCTTCCACACTGCAACATGACTGAGAATGCCCAAAATGGGGAAGGACAGGAAGGAGAGGGTTGGGGGAGAGAGGGAAGGAAATATAAAAAGAAGCAAGGGAAGATGGAAAAACACAACATATAGAAAGGAAGGAGAAACGAAAATAGAGAAAGGGGAGGAAAGAGAAGTGGAAAGCACGGAGGGAACAAAGGAAGAGAGGAGCAATGACACAAAGAAGGAAACAAGGAAAGGAGGAAAAATAACAAAGGAATGACGGAAAAATGAAGGACAGAAAGAAAAAGAATAGAAAGGGTTAAGAAAGGAAACAATAAACGACACAAAGGAGGAAATGACGAAGGAAAGCAGCGAATACAAAAGGAAGAAAGGTAGAAAGTGAGGAAGGAAAGAAGGGAAGAAAATAGGGAAAAGAGGAGGAAACAGAAGAGAAGTGGAAAGCACAGAGGGAACAAAGGAAGAGAAGAGTGATGACACATGGAAGGAAACTAGGAAGGTAGGAAGTACAGAAGAAAAGAAGAAGAAAAGAAAAAGAGAGAAAGAAAGTAAACAGAAGGAATAAAGGACAAAACACAACAAAAATATTTGAGGAACGACAGAAAGAAATATAAAGAATAGAGGGGGGATAGGAAAGGAAGCATTGAAAGAGAAAGAAAGAAAGAAAGAAGGACAGAAACTATTCATTTCTTGTTGAAAATAATCAGCTGTTTGATCACAGAGCGTCAGATTTAAAATAAAAGGAGATAAAACGTGTTTTCTGCCTCCTCCCCCTCTCTCTCTCGTTCTCTCTCTCTCTCTCTCGTTCTCTCTGGGCCACACAGACTCTTCAGTGTCAGCTCGTCTCGCCTCTTTCTTGGCTCTCAGGCAGGAATGTGGGTCTGTGGGGGTCTGTGGGGGTCTGTAGGGGTCTGCCAGCCCTCCGAAAATCCGACCAAAATCACACCAACCAAACAGGCGAGCGAGCAGCGGCGTCGGCGGCCGCAAACACAAACAACACGCAGCCGGTTTCCTGCTCACATCCCGTCCTGTGGAGGATTATAGGTGTATTAAAGGTGCATTATGTGGCTTTTGGCTGATGAGAGCTGCGCAGTTATTAGGGTGGGAATGTGGTTAGACGGCATGTCGTGGATTAGACCCAATTTGGGGTTGGTTACACCTGCTCTCCCTCCTCCCTCTCCCCCCCAAAAAAACACCCACCACAAACACCAGGCTTATCCCGAGCCAGGAAGTGAACACATTAGTGGCTGAAAGCAAAAGGAAAAACTGGCTGCTCCACGTCACAACAAACACAACCACACATAAATGATGAGGAACAGCGAGCTGAAGCAGGAACACAACAGCTCACATGTTATTACAGCTTGTTGAGGCCATAAAACACACAACGTCTCCTCAGAGCTTCTGCAAAACCACTAAATGAGTTTTAATGTCCAATTCTTTCACACTCGTCCAAACAAGGAAACAGTCTGTCAGCATGGTGAGATAATTAGCTTTTAATTAATTCCTGTCGAGCTGTGTTTCCTCTTGTTTCAGGAATCTTCTAGAAATGAGCGTCAGTCGGTCACATTATCTGCAGAGCTCGGTGCTAATATACTTTTAACTTTCAAATATAAACCTGTTTCCTACAAAGTCAATCTTCATTGAACAAAAGAAGCTGTTGAATATCAAATACAGTTGAAACACAAGCAGCCGTACACAACTTCATAAATTACAGTAAAATACTGTAAAAATTACGACTAATTACAACTAAGTTTGGGGTCAACATTTAGAGTATATTTACGTTTTTCTTCTTTCCTTCAATAATGTCTATTTTAACAAATAAAAACCGTAGAATTCAATAGATTTATGATTAACAATTTGGGCTCCAACAGAAGCAGAATTATATGATTAACTACTGATTCTGAATTTGAATCCCGTCCAGAAAAGATCTTTATTGAACCACAGCAGTGCAACCGGGCTCTAGATTGTGGGAACCTGTTTTTCTTTCTGCAGTCTACTTCAGATAGAACTGGTTTGAACTGTCCGTCCGCATTATGTTCAGCTGATATTCAACAGTGCCAACTCTGCACCAGACTTCTCTTTCTATTCTGAAGTTTAAAGAAAAGCAACACGCCAGCGTGTTAGAGGCATTACTGTGAACCTGTTCCTGTTTAAATCTGCACAGACCAGTGACTGTTGATTTCTTATACTCTCACTGAACTGTTGCTCAGAGGATCTTTGACTCAGTCTGGTTGAACTCTTGTACTGTAAAGAGGACATTCTGAAAGCATCAGAGACCACCGTCTGGCTTTAGAGGCAGATGACCCCAACCTTTGAGCAGTATATCAGGAACTATCTGATACTAGATGGCGGTTTTTGTTATTTCTTGAGGTTCTACAATCTCATGTCTGATTTTTTTTACTTGTTTGGAGACATATTAGACTCCATTGTTTAATCACAGATTAAATAACTGGATCACACCACAGTTTCTGCATCTGTAACCTCCTTTCCTACAGACTGTGTGACCTTTATCCAAAGCCATCGGTTTCCATTTATTAGCCTGAGCAGAATTTAGATTGAACAGATCCATCAGTGAACATAATCTCTGCTCTCAGGCTTTTATTTGTCACCTAATCCAGTGGTTCCCAACCTGGAGGTCGCCACAGCTTCACAGGGAGGCCCTCGGGATTTTAATGGGTGTGAGAAAACGTCTATATCTCAGTATTTCATTCATTTCTGTGAAGAAAACTAAATTCAATTGTATTTTTAAAGTTTAGATATTCTGTATGATTGTTAAAAAACTAAATATACATAAAACAGACAGAGGATTGTACAAAAAGCTTCTAAAAATGATCAATATTCACAGGAAATCTGCTTAAAATTAATCAAATCTCTGGTTTTACTTCCTGCAGAGTTTGGGTTCATTGTTGAGTTTATCAGCTGTTCTGTTCTGTTATTGTTATGCATTGAATATAATATTAAATACCCATAAAATATGTCACTTTATCAGAGAGAGGGTTTCCACTCCGGGCCTGCAGTGATTTGTAGTAATTGTGTAACATTTGGAAACGCTGATACGGCCCTCCCTATAAACACTGTTCTGTTTTGCTCTGAGGGTTTGGACGGGCGACGGTGAGAACCTGTCATTTCAGTTTGTCCGTCTAAACACAGACGAAGAGAAAGAAAAACAGCAGAGCGGTTGCATCACCGAGAAACGCCGACGAACACAGACGGACAGAAAACATCTTCATGGAACATTTCTTATTTGGATAAAACCCCTCAGAGGGTTTCTGAGCAGGACGGGATGGAGGGGGGAGACGAGGGGGAGGCAGGCAGGCTGGAGGCCCTCCTCCCCCTCCTCCTCCTCCTCATGAGCCACGTATTGAAAAAAAAAAACACTCGACTATTCATAGATCAAAGAGGCTCACACACATCTTGATACGTGCAAATGCCTCCGACTGGGGTGGCATGTGGATACTACATCATGAGCCCCACACAAACACACACACACACACACACTGCTGCATGTTTGTTCGCTGCAAAAAGCTCCTCACAAGTCACTCAGGAGTTAAAAGTTAAAATATACAGATATCCATAAATTGAAATATTCTCATTAATATCAAAATATTTGAATTCCTGTCTTCTAGTACTTATGTTCCTATATTACTTTAATGTAATCAGCTGGCACCGCTCTCAGTAGCGAGGACGTAAAAAGTCCAGGACTGTTGCACCAGAGTCTGCTGTTTGCGTCCAGAGTCCGGATTGAGGTTAAGGTCGGTACCCAAATTCAGCCCAACCCCTGACCCTGACCACAACATAACCTGACTCTTATCTGAACCTAACTAACCAAACCAACCAAGGTAACAAAGCCAATCAGAGGCAGGGTGGGCGGGGTTACACAGGTGTTTAGGGGTGCGTACCTACGTCAGGAGGTAGTAGTACGCTGGTGCCCAGCCCCGGTGATTTCAGGCACCAGCCATTTGGTTAAGGTTTGGGAAACATTGTGAAGTGTTCGGCTAATTGCTAATTGCCCTGCAACTTTTTCAACAACATTACCTCGTTATTCGGTCGGCATTACGTTTATGAACATAGCTTCTAGGAAATGGCTGCAATTTGATAAGATGAAGATTGTTTGCAGAGACACAAGTTTAATTTCTGTCTGATTGATTCAAACTTCTTACAACATGTTTCATTTCAACATGTTTCAAGTGTTTTACAGAAACTGGTGTCTGCTGCTTTGAATTTTTGTATTTTTTTCGTGCACTAATCAATCTTATTCTTTCATTTTCAAGATACTTTCTGCAATATTCTTTACCACAGGGAGTTTTCTGCCTGTTCGCACAAATGTTTTCACTGCAAGAACCGTAAATCCTCGAGTGGGTCATAAAAAAACAGTCTTCTTACGAGTGAAACATTTTCAATCCGTTCCCAACAGAAACCGTCGTCTCACAAACAATGAAAGTTAGTTTGGAAGAAAAACGAGATGATTAGCTTTAGTGACAAATATTTTCTACTTGTTGAAGAAAAGTTTTACATTTCTAGAATTAAGTGTATTTTTTCTTGATTCTGGCAAAGAAATTGACTTTATTCTGTTTTTTAAGACAGAATAAAGTCAATTCATCAATAAAGACAGCTCGTTTCTGGAAAATATTTCAAACAATTTGTATTTCAGCTCACAGACTTTTTCACTTTTAA